GGGGAGGCAGGAGAGGGTAAAGGGGGAATTAATGGTGACGGAAGGAGACTAGACTCGGGGTGGTGAACACATAATACAGTATACAGATGACATATTATAGAATTGTACAGCTGAAAACTATAAGATTTTATTAACCAGTGTCACCCCAATAAATTCAATAAAAATAAATTTTTTTAAAAAGTAAATGTGAATGTGAACTCCTCCATAGAAGTAGTCTGAGATATTAGGCAGGAAGCAGCAGCAGGTCCGTGCAGTGATGTTCTCCTTGTCCAGGGGCTCAGTGGGGGAGGTCTTTTCTGTCTTGCTTCCCTTCTAGTCCACTGTCTTGTATTAGGGTTTCTCACAAGACGTCACCACTCTCACTTGTCCTGGTGTGAGGGCTCCCAGGGTGCCTTTCTCAGTGTCCTGGAGCAGGGGGCAGGTCTGATGGACTCGTGCCTGTGTCTGAATTTCCAGGTTTCTCAACACTTTCATACTCTGAGGAAGCTCTGCACAGTTGGGCTCAGTTTCTGTTCCTATGCTCTCTCCTGGGTATAATTTAAAGGGCTCCTGTTGGTAAGAGGGGAGTGGTTTAGGAAGCACTGAAGCCGTTGGGCCCATTGATAGGTAACTAAGCCTGCAGACAGCTTGTACTGCCAACAGCATGTCAAGGGGAAGCCGTAGCAGGATGGTTGCTGAGAAAGTCTGGGAAACTTATTTTTCTACAAGTGGTCACAACAGTCACCCACTGGTGGTAAAGTCCAGCATGTTAGAGCTGTTGAGAGACTGGCTCTGGGAGGGCTCCCGCTCTCCAGGAAGCACAAAGAACTTTCCACTCTGCCCAGGGCCACGGCAAACGAATTCTGGCTCTAGGGGCTTTGAAGAGAGTGCCCAGAGGTGGTGGTGGTGAGCAAAAACAGGAAACTAGGAAGAATGTATTGAGAAATCTATGAGCCACAGATCCTTTGCATCATTCAAAACTAAACCCCAGGTGACAGCCAGAAAATCTCTGTGAAGTGATTCAGGATAAGTCTGCACCTCACTGTTTAGTTGTTAGTAATCACTCTCTGGAGGACTCCATGGAACATTTTCCTCTTTAGAGTGCTTTTAACTAACCATCTCTTTAAATACTGGTTAAGTCATAGTGTCATTATAATGAAGGCCAGTGTTTTATAAGAGCAGTTTCACCTGTTCATATTCAGGTAATGGCTCTAATCATTGGCGTGACAAAATAACCTGCATTTGCCAGTGTAGCCAGAGCAAGTTTCCTCCCAGCAGACCTGATCGGCACTTCATTGTGTGAGGTCATTTGTTAGCTCCTGTGGACTGCAGAGTCTCACATGACCTCCTTCACATGGCACAGAAGTTCATGACCCCATCTCTCGGCCTTGCTCATCTCATGTCCACCATCCTGCATTCCAGCCATGTGTAATTACTTCCAATTCCCAAGCATGCCGTGCTCCAGACTTTCACCTGCTCTGCTTGGCCTGCTCCCCACAGTGTGCTCCCCTAACTTGAAGACTCAGCTCAGGAAAACTCAGCTCTCTGGGGAAGCTTTTCCTGCCCACTGGTTCCTCCCAGCTGTCCCTCATCCAGGCTCTATGGCTCTCTTGTGTGCAGGGTGCCTCCAGACTTCCCCCACCAGAAACTGTGTTGTCTTATCTGTTTTCCAGGTTCCTAGTACAGGGTAGATGCTCATTAACTATTTGCTGAACAGATTAATGAGTAAGGGTTTGAGTGAGGGAGTGAATTTGCTGTGTTGTGGAAGCTACACGTGAGTGTGACTGGCCACTCAAGGGCTGGAACCAGGCATAACTCTTTTTTTCAGTGATAGCAGATGTTGTGGGGTCCTTAAAACTTAGTTCCTATTTTTTTGTAGAAATTACCTTTATGCACCACTCTGAATAGGATTCCACTTTTGTTGCCTTTTTGTTTTAGAAATACAGAAGAGCTGGGACGTGGTTTTTAATGATAACAGCCTAGAGCTAGACACAGGTATATATGTACTTATTATAAATGTATGGCATAAATATATACATATTTATGTGTGTGCACTTATATATAATATATGCGTATGTGTGAACCCTTACACATGTACACATGCATGTGTACATATATACAGTACACATTTGTATGTGTATATGCATGTGTGTGTGTGTCATGGACAGGTAGAGATCAGTCTTAGTTATGCCTCAAAGGAGGTTCTGTCTCGAACCAGCCTGTTTGCTGTCACCTGAGTATGATTATAACACCTCCCCGCTGAATCAACATACTCTCCTGCCGAATGAGCCTATTTGTAGAAATGTCCTAGACACTCTCGGGGTTCTGATTGCATTTCATCTGCCACATTGAGAAGCCTGAGTCTGGCCAATTCATCTTTGCATGCATTCAACAAACACGTCCCATGTGCCTACCATGTGGCTGTAGGAAAACCATTATGTGTGTGATGAATGGTCACTAGTCACTCAGCAGTGATTTTGCCTCAATAACTCTTTCTGTTCTCATCTGCCATCTCTCCAGTGTCCATCCCAGCCTCAACACACACAGCTTTGCTGGTGAATCCTTTTAGTGAATCGTGGGTGGTCTGTCACACAAAGCTCTCCCTGCATGAGTTTCTTTCCGCCAGATGCCTCTGAGTTCACTCCCACAAGCCATGAAGGCTCACTGCCTTGAAAGAGCCACCCTCTGGGGGAAGCCTTGGGACCAGCCCTCAGGGCCAGCCACGAGAGCTGTTTCACAGCAGGCTGCTTGCTCGTTGCTGGTGTCATATCTGTGTTGGGAGGGGAAAGTGTCTTCTAATAAAATGTTTTCGTCTTGTCTTTTAGCTTACATTTTACTATGGAACTATAGATCCTTGGTGTCCAACACAGTACTATGAAGACATAAAGAAGGATTTCCCAGAAGGCGATATTCGACTATGTGAGAAAAAAATAGCTCATGCGTTCATCCTTCGTTCGTCCCAGGAAATGGCTGACATGGTCGCTGACTGGATGCAGGATGGCCCGTCCACAGTGGAAACCGGGACAGGAAAAAAGGACTGACAGCAGGGCACAGAGGCAGTGGGCACGCTGGCTCTCAGTAGTAACTAGTAGACTGCGTAGGTAAATGCTTAATTTGAGTGTTTGGTATCGGAAGAGAAAAAAAATGAGACCCTCTTGGCTAAAAACTACCAGCTCCCACCTTCCTGTGCTGCTGGCTGAAGTAAACACAGTTGGCGAAATACTCCATAGGCTTAACCACACATTTTCCGAGACTCAGGAACACAGTGATCCATGTTGACAGGAGAGGCCCAGGGGCACCATGCAGCTTATTTTGGTAGGCAGGATCCTTGCAGACAAAGGAAGTCTAAATTTAGTTGATTTTAATTGAGTTACATCGTAGAAATACCTCCGAGGAAATATAAAAGCGATGGGTGAGCACTCAGTGTGTGGTCAGGTGTGTGAAGTGTGTAAGATCATGAGAGGGACTCACAGTCCAGCAGCAGAAGTGATGAGCAGTGCTTCTTGCCAGTGGACTTGAGTCCTTCAGGACAGAAGACGAAGATCAGCCCAAACTGACTTTGCAGAGGTCTCGGCTGAGACCATCAGAATCAGGCTGGCTCTTAGGACAGCCTGCCAACCTGTGTCACAGACCACCAAGTCAGCCTTTTTTCTGGCCACCAGGGACACAGGCCCAAGCAGAGCCATCATCGGAGAGGCCTGTGTTTGTCTCTGAGAAGCTTCCCTGAGTGTGACTTCCTTGTCTACCTGCATTAGAGAATAAAGTTCGCCAGACGTCCCTCTGCTCAACTAACCTAACAAGAGTTGAAGGATCCTGACTGTGCCTCCCACCACCCAACAGCCAGCAAACTCCGTGCCGAGCCTCATCCTGAGGGTTGTGAGCTCCCTGCAGGTTCCTCTTCTCCACAGCCAGGATGGGGAGGCCCCAGACTGCCCCAGATCAGCCATACACAGTTGCCCCTTCTGTGATTTTTTTCATTGGAACCCCATTGAGGACCAAGCAGTGAGCCAAGTACCGCGCTCGGCATTGAGGGTAGAGGCTTAGCTGTATTGTGAGTCTTTCCTTCTGACAGTCTTCTAGTAAGTAACTTTCAAAAGGGCACCTTTAAATTGTGGAATAGAGAATAACCATAAGTGATTGTCCCCTTTCTGCATTAGCATGTTAGTTGGAAAGAAATGGTTTTACTAATGAACCAAAACAAGTCATTCAATTATGTAAATTTACCTTCTCCAGACACCTTCACATCTAGTAGAGAAGCAGCCGTTCTCTGGCCTAGAGTGGGCTCACAATATTGCTGTCTTCCACAAACTGACTCAATCCTGGGGCTTCAGGAGCCCATAAACCACACTGAGTGCAGTGACGATAGACCATAGATCAGAAACATTCCAGTTTCTCCTGGAGGAGTCCCTCAGATTTAAGGACAATGGGATGTTGGCCTTCTTCTCAAAACCTAAAGCCCCCTGATGACAGGGTCAGCCCTGCTATGCTGCCATCCCTATGGGAAGTGTTGGACAGGTTACTGGCAGACAGGGCTTCTGCCTCAGAGCAAATGACTTCTTGGAAGGGAACTCCAAGCCCCAGGCAAGGAGTGCTCTTGGCTTCAGAGAGGAGCCGGCACACACACAGGCCATTGGCACAGGGCCGCACACAGACGCCTATTGGCATCTGCGTGGGGAGGCCTAGAAATCTGGTGTTAGCAGCTGAGACTCGTGGCTCCGACATGCTTGCAGGAGATGCTCAATAGTACTGACCTGTACACATAAGCAAGTCCTGAATGAAGCGTACCTACTGAAATAGAGACCAGCATTCCCAGCTTTTCCTCCAGGGTTACAACATGACTCCACGTTTCAAAAGTCCACGTGTATGAAATTGTATCTCATTTTGTTTTTCAGAGCTTAAAAAATGGTAAAGTAAAATATTACTGGCTCTTATTTCCTGTTTATCGTCTAAGCACCAAATAAATTTTTGAAATAAATGCTTTACCAGCGCTGTGGGCTTGCCTGGCCTGATCTCCGTGTGTTGGGGGAGGAGAGGTGTGCGCTGAGCAGTTCTGAGTTAGACTCAGGTCAAAGTCTCCCTGTGAAATTGAAAAGCCACTTTTCTCAGTATTTCTCTCAGAGACAGAAGAGTCGGATTTCAGGAGATTGAAGTTCACTTTATTTCATTAGGGCTTAAACAAAAGGCTAAATGTTTCCATGCGTATGTATTAGGTGACAAGGCCTTACCATCTGTGTGATTTTTAGGCAACTTTATCTCGTTTCTCCACACCTCACTGTCCTCATTTGTAAGGTAGGATTAATAATGCGCGCCTCATTGCTGGAAGAGTTAAAGAGGGTGATAAAATTAAAGCATTTAGCACAATGCCTATCCAAGGGCATCTTAATAAAGATTGGCTATAATAATAATACTTATTATTAACTATCGTAATACTGAAAATAAAAGACTAAGATGGATAAGCAGTGGATGAAATGTTTTCCAGAAGCATTGCTGCCTGTTTCCCACTCAGCCACATGGGTGGTCCTTGGTAAAGATTTCGCTTTGGGCGGGATTATCTAGTGCCAATGGAAAGCCTGAATTGGAGTGTGACCAGTGCCCACGGTGGTTCTGTGTGCTCTGGCCTATGGGAGAGGCTCTCCAGAGGCAGCCAGCTCGTGTGGCTCTCGTGGCCTTTTGTCCAAGGTAGCCAGGGCCTTCTTGCGATCTGCTCCTCCCCTGGACAGCCAGTGACCTCCAGAGGCTCAATTCCTCTTCACCCTACATTGCATTAAAATTAAATTTAATTCCAGATTAAAGGACACTAAGGGGACATGACAATATACAGCAACACCTGATTCTGGATTATATGTTTTAATTACAAAAAACATTGTTGGGACGATTTGCACAACCCAAATGGGGTCTGAAGATTAACTGGGAGAAGATGTTAATTTCCTGAGCTCAGTGGCTGTGACGTGGAAAAGCAGGAGATACCCTGATTTGTACTGAAGACACACTGCGGTGTCTGGGGCAGCAGGGCAGCATGTCAGTTCCCTCTCACATGGTCCAGAGGGGGGAAATGTTGCCTGTATTTTACCTGCAACCTTTTTGTAAGTGCAAGACAATTTTAAAATTTATAAAAATATTTAAATAGAAACAGGCTCTCTCCTTTTGTATCTGTCTCTCATTGCTTCTTTCCCAGAACTTGAGTTTCTTCTAAGCAGTCAATGGAGACCAAGGCTCAAATCCTGTATCTGTCATGTCATGGGTTTGTGATGTTACATAGGCTTAAGCTCCCTGAATCTCTCCTCCAGCCTCCCCAACCCCCCACTGCACCCCCCCGTCTCTTCATCTATGAAAGTACTTGCTTCAGTTTTTGGATTTTGGATTTGGGGAGGGGTGTTTGTGTTTGTTTGTTTGTTTGTTTGAAACATGGGTAAATGAGGTCATGCATGTGGCTTTGGGCATCCTGTCTGGCTTACGGTCGATGCTCTATAAAGTGGTCCCTAAAGGCAAATGATAGCGAACTTGTTTTTCTTTTACTCTCTCTCGGTGCAGTGGAGGACCCCACGATAGCTCAGTTTCTGCAGTTTCGCCCAGCCTGAAACTCGATTCTTGCAGTCTTAGCATCTCTGGTTCATATTTGGGGGTGGGGGACGCTTGCTCACCTGGCTCAGCTCTCTGGCCCCTGGCCATGCAGGACTCAAACACACAGCGCAGGATGCTCCGGCATCACCTCAAGGGGCCTACAGTCCATCTAGAAAAGGTGCAGGAAGCCAAGGAACACCAGACATCACCTTTGTTCCTGGTCTTCTCTTTTAGGGGAGAAGAGCATGTACTTGGCTCCTCCTTCCCTTGGGGGGTGGGCTTTCAGGAGCCATCATTGGCTGGAACTACTAGTGAAACAAAGGGCCCAGGAGTGTTGAGGACAGAAAAGCTTTGCGTTTCCAAGGGGACTAAGTTTCCCGCCTGTGCCCCATAGAGATGTAGGTGAGTGATCGATTGCATTGGTCCAGGTGCGGAGTGCCCATGTGGGACATGGATCTCTCCTCTGCCACCAGACTGGAGGCATCCAGAGCAGGACTGGTGAGGTCAGAGGCGGCTCTGGGTTGCCCTGGTTCTGTAAAGAGCCAACTCCTGGAGGGAGAGGGAGGGGGAGAGGGGGATGAGGCCAGGTAGAAGGACAGGTAGTGCAGAAATACAGGTAGAACTTGGCTGGGTTTGGGGAAGGAAGAGCAGGGCCAGAGAAAGAACCCGCTGCTCACCCTACACTTTCAGGGTGTCCCCAGGCCTCACAGTCCTGCGAGATTACGATTGCACTCCACAGACCACCACGAAGGTGCAAAGGTGACTTGCTCAAGATCTCACATCTACTGAGTGGCAGCTGGGGTTCACGTGCAGGCCTCCACCAGAGCCAGCCTTCTCCCCTTTTTCCTGCGGCCTCGTGCCGCCTCCTGGAGGCAACAGTGGGCAGCCTGGCAGGCCTGGAGGTTGAGAAGGGAGGGTGGGCTGGGGAGGGGAGCGCCAGGTTGGCAGGGAAGTGAAGAGAGGGTGGGGAACGAGTAGTTTTAGAAGGACGAAAGAGAGAATAGACTGGTTTTCAGGGTGGGGGAAGTGCCTCGGGCGGTGCATTTGGGGAAAGAGCCTGCCTGCCGGGCAGAGGACACGCTGAGAGTACAGTCCCCAGTGAGCTGTGCACAGTGGGTCCGGTAGATTCGAGGACACGGCACCGCGGGATGACCGGAAAGCACAGCCACTACCCCTCGTGGCCCATTCGTGGCCCCTCTGGCTGCAACTGTTACTTCCATTCTCCTGATTAGAAAACCTCTGGAGTTCGGGGATTAGCAACTACCAAATATGTGGTTATTATTTGTTGAGCGCTAACCCTGTGCAGCACCCCAAGTGGGAATTACAGCAACAATACAGAAGGCTGTGCTCTGGGACAGCCCTGCGTTTTCATTTTCTGTCGCATTCCTCAGACATTGTGGCCGAGGGGCCTGCGCTGACCTCCCTGCGTTGGGACAGACTTCCTTGCTGGGTAAGTCTATGGGAAAATTCCTCTTCCCCGAGAGGGGAATGTGACCCCGTGACTGGGCGTCCTTTACGGCGAGGGGTGCGGGTGCACCTGCGGGGCCCCCCCTCACGGAGGGCCTAGGATTCCGCCTCTGCACATCCACCCGCTCAGGCCCCGGGAACATCTGGGCCTCCTCCTGCTGGCCACCGCTGACGGCCGCGCACCTGCATGTGATTAGGACTCAGCAGACGCCCACAGCCTCCCGGTCGGTGGCAACACACTGGTGACACGTTGCAGGGGACGGGTTTCTCCCCATCACTGTCCCTCCTGAGCAGAAGAGTGTGTGGCATTCCCGGGGCCCAGGAGCACAAGGCATCCACAGCCAGGGCAGGGGCCCCGCCCTCGGCGGTGCTCATCTTTGCCTCACCTGCTTGGAAGTGAGCAGGCGTCCGGCCCCAGGGAAAGGGGGAGCGGAAAAGCCAGCCTTCGCCTCCTTAAGTATCAGGCATTGCTGGGCCTTTCAGACGGGCTCCATCAGTGTTTAGGAAATAGGATACCATTTTAAATGTCACCCGACTTTCCTTTCTCCCTGCAACTTACCCCATCTCTGCTGAAAGTATAATCCTCCGACCACAGAAGGCCGGGTGGGTCAAGTAGAAAATAAAATGAAGAACTGACCAAGGATTCCTATAAACACATGAAAAGCCACACTTTTTGATGGCAGGGTCATAAAGCTTATACAGTCATCGTTCCCACAGAATGAGCTGCTTAAAGGGGAGCATAATTTTTATTCCAAAGAAAGAGACTCCTTGAATTAGTAGTAATGGAATTAGGGGACAGAAAGGGAGCAGACTTTGCTGAGCTTTTCCCCAGAGAAAGACGTGGCCACAGGGACTGGCATTAACACTCAGGGACAGTGGAGCACACTGGACTCTGCGAGGTGCTGGGTCCCACAGACCCAACCCACATCCCACATGAGCCAGTCCTGCCAACAGGGCATTGTGACGTTAAGTCCCTGCCACCTTCCCACAGCTGCTGCTCAGTCACTAATTCTGTCCCTGAAATACTTAAGGGACAGATGAAAGCTTTCTTGTCACCTGTAGGAACAGTCGCTGTGAGCCAGCTGGAGGTGGAAAGCTGTGTGGTGGGTGCTCTGCGGCCCGGCCTGGGGGCGATGCTGAAGGATCCCAGGCCGCCTCATGGGGCAGGGACCTGTGTACTTGTCTAGAAGAGTGCTGAGCAGAAGGGCCCTGCCCAGTCAGCCGCAGGGCTTGCTGGTCCCTGAACTCCGCCATCCAGCCTTGGGCCTTGCCATGGAGGTGGCCACAGCCGGGCCAAGGCTATGGATTCCAGAGGCACGACTGCAGCCTGCGGAGGGTGCACGCTCCTGCTTCTGACCCGAGACAGGACCCAGACTGGGTGCTGNAGGCCCCGGGAACATCTGGGCCTCCTCCTGCTGGCCACCGCTGACGGCCGCGCACCTGCATGTGATTAGGACTCAGCAGACGCCCACAGCCTCCCGGTCGGTGGCAACACACTGGTGACACGTTGCAGGGGACGGGTTTCTCCCCATCACTGTCCCTCCTGAGCAGAAGAGTGTGTGGCATTCCCGGGGCCCAGGAGCACAAGGCATCCACAGCCAGGGCAGGGGCCCCGCCCTCGGCGGTGCTCATCTTTGCCTCACCTGCTTGGAAGTGAGCAGGCGTCCGGCCCCAGGGAAAGGGGGAGCGGAAAAGCCAGCCTTCGCCTCCTTAAGTATCAGGCATTGCTGGGCCTTTCAGACGGGCTCCATCAGTGTTTAGGAAATAGGATACCATTTTAAATGTCACCCGACTTTCCTTTCTCCCTGCAACTTACCCCATCTCTGCTGAAAGTATAATCCTCCGACCACAGAAGGCCGGGTGGGTCAAGTAGAAAATAAAATGAAGAACTGACCAAGGATTCCTATAAACACATGAAAAGCCACACTTTTTGATGGCAGGGTCATAAAGCTTATACAGTCATCGTTCCCACAGAATGAGCTGCTTAAAGGGGAGCATAATTTTTATTCCAAAGAAAGAGACTCCTTGAATTAGTAGTAATGGAATTAGGGGACAGAAAGGGAGCAGACTTTGCTGAGCTTTTCCCCAGAGAAAGACGTGGCCACAGGGACTGGCATTAACACTCAGGGACAGTGGAGCACACTGGACTCTGCGAGGTGCTGGGTCCCACAGACCCAACCCACATCCCACATGAGCCAGTCCTGCCAACAGGGCATTGTGACGTTAAGTCCCTGCCACCTTCCCACAGCTGCTGCTCAGTCACTAATTCTGTCCCTGAAATACTTAAGGGACAGATGAAAGCTTTCTTGTCACCTGTAGGAACAGTCGCTGTGAGCCAGCTGGAGGTGGAAAGCTGTGTGGTGGGTGCTCTGCGGCCCGGCCTGGGGGCGATGCTGAAGGATCCCAGGCCGCCTCATGGGGCAGGGACCTGTGTACTTGTCTAGAAGAGTGCTGAGCAGAAGGGCCCTGCCCAGTCAGCCGCAGGGCTTGCTGGTCCCTGAACTCCGCCATCCAGCCTTGGGCCTTGCCATGGAGGTGGCCACAGCCGGGCCAAGGCTATGGATTCCAGAGGCACGACTGCAGCCTGCGGAGGGTGCACGCTCCTGCTTCTGACCCGAGACAGGACCCAGACTGGGTGCTGTGTGCGCAAACGGAGCAGCTCTGCCAGCTGCCGGCAATGGCTCGCTCATGACAGGTGGCGGCGCTCATTTTCCAAGGAGAAAGTGTTTCCACTGCATGTTGGCCTCTTCGCCCCGGAGCCCAAGCCCACTCGGCCACCTTCCCATGCATAGCGCCACGCGGCGTGGGGCTGCGCACAGGTCCTGTGCTTGTCGCAGTCACGAGGCCCAGGGAGCAGCAGCCCCGTGCTGAGCAGTTTCAGGTAAAGCCTGATGGGCCGGGCTCCCAGGCGGCGGCTTTAACGCGGCCTTCCCAACGCCTGCAGGGCTGGCGCTGTTCTCAGCGCCCAGGAGCCTGAGCGGTCTAACCCAGAAAAACAGGTCCAAGGTCGTTCTCCAAAGACCAGTCAGGAGCAGTTGTAGCAATAAAATATTTAATCAACTTATCTGTACAAAATATCCAAATGGTTAATGAAGAGTATAC